CCCATTTCTGTATGCACAATAAATAAACCTTAAAAAAAAAAAAAAAGAAAGAAAATGAAGAGGCAGAGTCACAGATCAGGAAAAGATACTTCCAACAAATATATTTGACAAACATTCAAGCATAAATTAAAGACTGCTACATATGGATTTAGATATACAGCCACATGTATATGAATCCGATAGGAAAATAGGCAAGGTCTTGAATATACATTTCACGAATATGATATCCATCTAGCCCCTAAACATTATAATCAGTTGATCAAACATTTGAACCAGGGACATGCAAGAAACACAAGAGAGTGCTCTGAACCTGCCTATGTGGCTACAATGAAGGAAGGTAAATCGTTTACCAAACGACATGTTGGGGATGGTGACAGTGGCGCAGGTCACGGCAGTTCCCAGTGAGAGGCCAGTCACGTGCCGTCGAGCAGAATGGCCGGGCCGGGCCCGTCACACAGTGGAACACCCACAACTGGGTGCAGGCGCCTCTCACAGAGAAGACATCTATGCTACGGTTTCACTACAGAAGGTCAAAGGCAGGCAGCAGAAGTATGTGGTCATGGGTGTTAAACAGAGGCTGCAGGAGGGAGCGGCAATGATGGGGAGGGGCCCAAGGGAAGATTCTGGGCTGCCAGTAATGCACTGTACACCCTGACGTGGGCGGTGGCTACTCAGGCAGGTGTGTTGGCTTGGTGAAACTGGAAATAAAGTCAGACTTTGTGTACGCTGTCATAAATATCTGCGTCACACCTCTCCACTAAAGAAGCAAGTTAGTGAGATTGGAGTACAATGAAAAGTGTAATAAAAACGTGTGTGCGTGTAAATGTATGTTTCTCAACACTATCAAGTACACAGCGCACAGCCTTCTCAAGTGCAGGTAGAACATCCTCCAGATCACACAACATGCTCGCCACAGAACAACCTGAGTGCGTGGAAAGCCCTGAAATCACACAAAATATGGTCTTCACACTGAAATGAAATTAAAAACAACAAGAGGAAGTAATAAGAAATTAACACATTTCTAAGTAATCAATGAATCAAAGAAGAAATCACAAGGAAAATTAGAGTACATTTTGAGATGAATGCAAATTAAAGCACAACACACTAAATTTTGGAAATTTATGAGCTGCTGCTGCAGGGAGAAATTTGCAGCTTACGTACCTACATTGAAAAGGAAGCTCTCAAATCAGTAACCTAAGTTACATCTTGAGAAAGTGGAAAACAGAGCAAAATAAATCTAAAGCAATCAGAAGGAAGTAATAAAGACTCTAGTGGAAATTCATGGGATTGAGAATAAAAAAATATTAGAGAAAATCAACAAAACCATAAGTTGGCTCTTTGGAGAAAAAAAAACAAGAAAAGTTGACAAACCTTTGGCTAGACAAACCAAGAACAACAGAGAAAGCGCAGACCAGAATCAGGAGTGAGAGGACTTTACAAAAGATACTCAAGGAGCACAGGAAGACGGTGCAAAATCGTACGGCGGTAAATTAGATGACCGAGATGCGGGGGCAAGTCCCAGAAAGAGACAAGCCACTGACACGCACCAAGAAGCCACTTCTGAGTAAAATGCAAGAACAGTTCAACATCTGAAAGTCAAAAAACCATCCAATCGTCCATGTAGTGAAGGACAAGGCCTCTTGAGAATAGGTGCGGAAGACTGTCACGTCCCAGAGCCTCTAATGATGATCCCCCAAAAAAGAACCAAACCACTTAACAGACTAGGGAAGCAGAGGATTTCCTCAAGCGGCTAAAAGGCATCTACCTGAAACAGTCACAATTGGGAAAGACTGAAAACTTCCCTTCTAAAATCCAGCCGAAGAAAGGATGGCTGTTCTGTTTCTTTTAACACTGTGTTGGAAGTTCTAGCCAGGCCAAGCAGGCAAATTAAAGAAAGAAAAGGTGGTTTCCAAGACAAAAGTAAAGTTAATTATACCGGCAGCATATATGGTTATTACACACAAACAATTCCTAATGATTCACAAAAAAAAAAAAAATATTAAAACTAATAAATGAGCCCAGCAAGGTGACTGGACACCAGACAGACATAATTATGCAACAAGTAATTTGAAAGTGCAATGAAGAAAACAGTTCCATTTACAACAGCATCAAAAGTAACATTGTATTTAGAGATACATTTAATAAAACGTGTAGCTGTGGGTTCTGTAAGCGCCAGGACAGCTGGAAGCAATCAGGAAAAGCATCCTGTATCACAGGGTTCAAATGGCATCACCTGCCAATCGGATTCACAGGCTCAATACAGACCAATAAAAATCTCAGTTGTCTTTTTTTTTTTTTTTTTTCCCTAACAGAAACTGATAAACTGATACTAAAATTCACATAGAAACATGCGGGACCCCAGCTAGCCCAAACCACCTTGGAAAAGAAAAACAAAGTTGGGTGACTGTCATTTCTTGATTTCAAGATACTTTGTGTAAAGCTCCCGTCACCCAGGTAGGGTGGTGCTGGTGCAGGACAGATGTCCAGGTTAGTGGAACAGAATGTACAGTCAGGAAGTCTAAGCACACACACGTATGACCAATTGATTTTTGACTCAAGCGCCAAGATAACTTAATGAAGAAAATAATCAATTTTTCAATAAGCAGTTATTGAGTCACAGACCCATATGAAATAGAAAGAAATCGAACTTACTCTTCAGATCGCATTTAAAAAAAAAACTCAAATGGGCCAGAGACCTGAAAATAAAAACGACCTTTAAAGATTTCAGATGAAAGCAGCGAGTAAATCTTTGTAGTGTTAGGTTGGCCAGAGCCTTCTTAGGCACTAACAGCACAGGCAATAAAAGAAAACAGCAAGCGCTTTCATCAAAACCTCAAACTTTTATGTCGCAAACAAAACCATCAAGAATGAGAACAACCCACAGGACAAGAGGAATTACCTGCAAGTCATTTATCAGGTAAGGGAATGGAGGACGAACTCTTTTAAGTCAATAATGGAAGATAAACAACTCAATAATGGAAGATAAACAACTCAATAATGGAAGATAAACAACTCATTTTTAAAAAGACCAAGTGTCTTTTTAGATGTCCTAAAAAAAAAAAAATACATTAATGGTAAGTCCATGAAAGTAGGCTGAACATCATTAGTCATTAAGGAAATGTGGTACCACTTC